CTGTGTTTTCGAAAACCACATCCTTCTTTATGCTGATAACTTTCTTTATCTTTATCAATGACCACACTTCTTCAGCTGGTTTCACAAGAACTGCATGAAACCTGATTTTCATGTGAGTTCCTTCATCCTTCTCTTTGAACTTACTTTCGGCTTTGAACTGGGGCATGATGAATGTCATCTCATTAATTGGAAAGTCCAATTGGCTTGCATCAGTATTCGTGACAGTGTACATCTATTTTGGATTCTTTTCGAATGAATACATGTGATTAAATGCAACATTGGCTTCAATTGTTTCATAGTTGGAATGCTTTGATGGATCACCTTTATTCATGCCTGGAGGATCACTTACTCTTTGAGTCATTATACTTTGTACTAATCTTATCCTCTCTAGTTCCACCTCAGCCTCAACCTTCTTTTCTTCCTTAGACATTTCTATCATAATTGATTTTCCTCTTGCATTCGAAGCTAATTCTTCTATCACTTCTTTTACCTTTGAATCACTCCCACCAATATCAACAAATTTACCAATCACGATTCCTTTCGAAATTGGTCTTGTAATTGGCGTAGTTGTAACTATTGTCGAAGAAACAGGACCACAGATGCTATAACTGGTTTTGTTGTTGGAATCTTCAAAGGAAATACTTTTCCCACCACCTTCGCATCATCACCTACAACATTCGAATATTCACCTTCCTTTCTCCCCCTTGCACCCATGTAAAAATAGGTGGGGCATTTGTTGTGAGAAGAAGGCTGGATATGTAGGAAAGAGGAGCCAACTGTTGGAGAAGTAAAGCTTCAAATTGAGAAAACTTATTGATAAGATCTTCTGAAGATAGTTGAGAAGATGAAGCTGGTTTTGAAGATAAGGCTTTGAGCTCCTTTAACAGTGTGAAAACTTCCAATAAATTCTTGTTTTCAGTTGTAGAAAGTTGAGTTATTTGAGGACTCAAACTTTCATACAACTTAGCAAACCTTGTTATAGCATCACAAATTATATCCACCTTCTGATTTAGAGATGCAAATTCTGTGTGGACAATTGCAATGTCTTTTTCTATGTCTTGGCGAAGCTCTTGAAGTTTAAAATTCATATCTTCTCTCACCTTTTTAACATCTTAAACAAATAATACATGACGTTCCTTTGCCACCATTTTCAACTCCTTCAAATCACCTTCAAATGTGGACTTCTAAGAATTTACCCTCATCTCATTGCTATGATCACATATATCAATTTTCTCCAAGAGATGAGACTCATAATCTTTGATCATTCCCGAAAATTTTGAGGTAATCCTCCCTTCAAGTAGTTTTAACAAACCATCAACTTCCAAACTAGTCACTGAATTACCTCCCTTCAAGTAATTTTGATCATTCCAGCACCTGCTTCACCATCTTCAAAGCCACAGGTTCTTCTTCTTCTTGGAAATGTGTTTAGCCATATTTCATGAAATTCCATGAAGAACATTCGTGTTTTCAATACTCTTCAAGAATTCTTTCCATAAATGAGTAGAGTAATCGACTTGAAGATCATAATATAGCCCTGCTACCATGGCATAAACCTCCATTCTCCCCTTGTACAAATAAACTATTCTTCCAGTTAAACACCTCAAGAAAATGCCAAACAAGAAATTCCAAACACTAGGAAGACCCGACTTCTTGAAGTCACTTATCTTTGACAGTTGAGGTTGATGACCCATTTCATTGAACATATGTACAATTTGTGGAAAGGTAAAATTGACATATGGTGGGGAATTAGGGATGTCAAGAATCTGACAGAAAATTTTCTTTAACAGTCTCAACCACCATCCTATTTTCGAAAATCCCTTCTTGAGCCACTAGTATTTCTCAAAACCCTAGTTTGGCTCAACAAACCCCAATTATGATCAACAAGGACTTCTTGTGCCCTCTTGACCGATTAGTGATCAACATGGACTTTTTGTGCCCTCTTGACCTAGTACTGATAAACAAGGACTTCTTTTTCCCTCTTGACCCATTAGTGATCAACAAGGACTTCTTGTGCCCTCTTGACCCATTAGTGATCAACAAGGTTTTCTTGTACCCTCTTGAACACTCCTTTTTTTCTAAATCCTTCTTGAGCCATCACTAATTTCGAAACCCCTCTTGACCCATTAGTGATCAATAAGGATTTTGTACCCCCCACTCCCCCCCCCCCTTCTTGAGCATCAAGTAATTTCGAAACCCTTCTTGAGCCAAAACCCTAATTTCAAAATTCCTTCTTGATCCTCAACAACCTTCTCTTGCTCATCAAGTAAGTTCAAAACCCTTCTTGAGTCAAACCCTAATTTCAAAATTCCTTCTTTATCCTCAACAAGATTTTGGATTTCCTCTTGAGTCATCACAAAAAAAAAAACGACATCCCTTTTGAGCCATTCATGATCAACAAGGTTTTTGTGCCTTCTTGAGCCATTCATGATCAAAAAGGTTTTTATGCCTTCTTAAGCCATCAAGAAAAATTCGAAAAACTTCTTGACCCTAACCCTAATTTCAAATTCCTTCTTTACCCAAACCTTAATTTCGAAAAACTCTCTTGATCATCAACAACCTTATCTTGATCATCAAGCAAATTTCGAAATTCCTTCTTGAGCCAACCCTATTTTCGAAATTCTCTCTTGATCATCAACAACCTTATCTTGATCATCAAGAAATTTCGAATTCCTTCTTGACCCTAACCCTATTTTCGAAATTCTCTCTTGATCATCAACAACCTTATCTTGATCATCAATAAAGTTTGAATTCCTTCTTGACGCTAACCCTATTTTTGAAATTCTCTCTTGATCATCAACGACCTTATCTTGATCATCAAGCAATTTCGAATTCCTTCTTGACCCTAACCCTATTTTCAAAACTCTCTCTTGATCATCAACAACCTTATATTGATCATCAAGCAATTTCGAATTCCTTCTTGATCCTAACCTAAATTTCTAAATTCACTCTTGATCATCAAAAACCTTATCTTGATCATCAAGAAAATTTCGAAATTCCTTATTGAGCCAACCCTATTTTTGAAATTCTCTCTTGATCATCAACAACCTTATCTTGATCATCAAGCAATTTCGAATCCTTCTTAACCCTAACCCTATTTTCAAAATTCTCTCTTGATCATCAACAATATTATCTTGATCATCAAGTAAATTCAAAACCCTTATCATGTCCTATATATACTCATTGCTCCATCCTATTTATCATTCACTCAGTCTCATGATCATCAACAAGAGTATTCACCACTCTTGTTCCAAAACCCCTATTGATCATCAACAAGTTCGAAACCCTACTTGATCAAGACTCAAATTTCGAAACCCTACTTGATCAAGACTCAAATTTCGAAACCCTAATTGAGCCATACTCAAATTTTAAAACTATACTTGATCAAGACTCAAATTTCGAAACCATACTTGAGCCATACTCAAATTTCGAAACCCTACTTGATCAAGACTCAAATTTCGAAACCTTACTTGTGCCGTACTCATATTTCGAAACCCTACTTGAGCCACCTTCAAGTTTCAAAACCCTAGTGAACATCAAAGTCTTGGAGCAACATCAATTGATCTCATCATCATCTCTTGAGCCAATCACAACCCTAGGTGAGCTTTTTTTTTTTTGAAAACCCTAATTCACGTTTTTTTTCTTTTTACCCTAGATCTTTTTTTTTCTTTTTTTCTCTTTGTCTTGTACAAACCCTAGTTTTTTTTGGATCTCCATCAACTACTTGTTGGAGAATCATCATTCAACCTCTCTTGTCTGCATCATCTTCAAAATCTAGGTTAGCATCACTCTCTTTTGTGAAACCCTAGTTATCACAAGTCCACCCCATGAGCATTATCATTTGCTACATGTGTATTCCTTTCTTTGTACACCATAGTCAACTTAACATTGATTATTGAATTATCGTGTGTTTAGTGTTTATCATCACGTGGTCTTTCATCATTTTATGTTGAGCACCACATTCCTTGATCACTTTAGGTACGTGTTCATTCCTTTTCTTTACACTCTATGCTGATCATGATGTACACCTTATAAAACTTTTTTTTCATGACATAACATAGATTTGCATATTTCCTGTGTCATTTGTGTTGACTTATCTCTCTATCACTCAATGATTAAACAAGACATCAACTGGTAAGTAACTTCTCTCTTGCATGTGCACATATCCTCATATAATAAAGTTACCCCTCCTTTGGTTGATGATTCATGTCTATACATATGTTCCTATGGTCAGGTTCCCCTAGTATTGGCCTATCACTTCTTTTAAGTGAACATCTCCTCTTGTTGCAATCATATTGAGTGAGTAAGGTTTTTTTTTCCATTTTTTTTATTTTATTTCTTCTTGATCATTAACTCATGTTCACATACCATGCTTAGGTTATTTAGTGTTGAGTCTTTGATCAAATCTTTCCTGTGAGCATTATACTTATTGGTGTATATATTGCTTTTCATACTCACAAGTCCATTACCTACATCTATCTTCTTTAAGGTAATTTCTCTTCTCTTACTCTTCTGTGATCTTCAGTTTCATTTCGTTTTATGTTATTTTCGGATCAACATATATTTTTTTGTCAACTGTTGTCTCTACGATACCTAATTTTATGTTAGTTTCTAAAGACCTTTTCATTTGATGTTCCATATTCATCATAGGCCACGACTTAGCAGTTTTACTTGATCTTTTCACTTTTGCTATGATATAGTAACATCAATTTTTTTCTATATGAGATCAATTGCTTTCTTTCTTATTCCAACTTGTCATGTAATTTGCTTTCTAGCCTATACTCAGTAAAAATGAATTTGTAGATTCTTCCTGTCCATAATTGAATCAAGAATACTACTCAATTCACAACTTTGTTTAGTAAATGCATATTCACACATTTCAATCCCCCCTTCCCTCTTTTAGTTAATATTATAATCTATTATTTTTAGCTATATTTCTTTAAATAACAATTCCTTTTATTTATTTATTTATTTATTATTCTTTTTCTATTCTTTTTCAAGACATGACTGACATAGTAGATGGTCAGAGTTCTAAAGCAAAGTCTTCTCATAAGACCTCACACTCTCATGCCAATGGACCTTCAACTGAGACACACTCATCATCACCTAAAGTTGCAATGGTTGCATCCAACTATACTGCACTTCTCAACACTCAGGAACAACCCAAAGAAGTCGTTGTCATAATTGAGTATCTGCATAAATGCCCGTTGGCATATGAACTTCTTTCTACTTCTCCAACTCCACAATCTCTTATCACTGAAGTCTTTCTGTCATCATTCATCTCCACAAGAGCAAAGTCCAAACAACTTGATGTTGAATTTAATTTTTTTCAAGCTACTTTGGTACTCACTAAAGAAGAGTTTGCAGTCAATTTAGGTCTAAGCGATATTCCTCCTACACCTCAGACATTTTTCACACCAACTTCTGCTCAATTATTAACAATGTTCAAGGAAATGGGGTATAAATTTGAAGAAAAACAAGAACCATGTCTTTCAAGAATTCGAAAGTCTTGTCTTCCCACGCCATGACACTTTCTCAGTTCCGTCCTCACTAAATGTCTATTCGGATCAGTTGGTGGACGTAGCAAAGGTAAAACAAACCTTTGAATTCTTATGTACGAGCTCTTCTACGACATCAATGTTGACTATGCATCAATTCTTTGCGAATATTTCCTTAATTTTCTCCCTACATCAAAGAATAATTTTTTGATTCATCATCCTCGTTGGTGGTAAATCATTATTTATGATGTCATCCATAACAATAATCTTGCACCATGATGGATTCCAGAAGGCCCACAGCCACATTTCTTGTGTATGATGCCATATCGGATACGTACTGCAGCTGAATCTGGGTCTTCACAACCAATCATCATTCTGGATTCTATTCTTACAAAGTTGGATGAAAACAGTGCTTCTCTATGCTCATATCAGAAATACATCCAGGGAATTACTTCACCTCCAAAAAAGAAGAGGAAGCATTCTGATCATGCATCCAAGAAGTCTGCAAAGAAGAAGAAGATATCCAAATCAAGTGAACCACCCCCTATCTCATCTCCAGCCATCACTGATGATAATCATGGAGCATATTTAGAGGAACCCACATCTCTCCCTAAATATGGTACAACCTCTAAGTCATTCTCTTTCATAGATTCCTTATTTCACGCTCCATCTGATTATGATAAACCATCCTCTTCAGCTCCAGTTTCACCAGCACACGTTCAGTCGGTTCTAGAAAGTCCAAAGCATCATGTCTCCTTGGATTATGACTCAATTGAGGATGATAACCAAGATGATGATAAGTAATCAAACCAGAAAATTTTCCTTAAGATTCTCTAGTACAAGATAATCCCGATGACGATACTCCAATGCGGATGGTCGATATTCCTTCTAGTGAAGGACTAATAGTCGATGATCAGACCAATGACATGTCTATTGTTCTTTACTCTACTGTATCTGCCAGGACTTTCACCATTGATCTTGATGATTACTCTCCTCCAACTCCAAAAGAATCTCAAGAAAAAGATGTTGTTAAGGAACCAAATCTCTCATCCTTTTCACAATATTGACTTCAGGACGACAGTATTCCTAAAGACACAAATGAGGACATCAAACTTACTGCCCAAATGGTAGCTGATGGTATTGTAGGTATTCGCTTTCACACATCTTCTCACTCTAAATATCTGCAAAACTTTCATGAATATCTTGAATGTATGGAAGAAAATATGTGTATCCTCAATGAGAAAATAGAAGCACAAGTCAAAACACTTCATGTCACTAATAAAGATTCCAAAGGCACAGCTGCTTATATCAAAGGACAAGTTGCTCGCAACATGCGGATGATTAAAACTCTAGATCAGAAAATTCATAACACTATTGAAGCATGTCTCTCTCCGATGAATCAGAAGATAGATGAATTCATGCAGTCCTTATCCAATCTAGAGTCCGTCTATGAAGCCAAATTGGATCATATGCAGAATCATGTTACTTCTCAAGACCGCTATATCTCCACTCTTGAGAAGTACGTTGTTGAATTATCTAATGCTTCTGCATCATCCTCCATCTCTCCCTTTCAGGCATTCAGTGAGCAAGTTCAATGTCAATTGGATTCGTTAAGCTCTAACATAGCAAATTCATCAGAATCTAATTCTGAGAAAATCAATAGCTCATCAGGTGACATATCTTCCCTTTAGAAGACTGTTCAGTTGCTAGTCGATGAAGTCAAGTGTAACACCCCGAGATTCAGGTACAGTTATTCCACCCTTATTCTTTGTCAATTGGTCATGATTGGTCCTTGAGTGGAAGAAGCCTTGTAAGTGAGTATGCTGGGCGTAACAAATGGGTACGCTGCGCGTACTCATGCACTTATTTTGGACGTAGAGTCGCTAATGTACACTGGGTGTACCGATAGTTATGTCGGGCGTACCCGGCCCAGATGCAAAACCCTAATATGACTTGTGCACTATTTAAAGGATGCTAAGGCTCATTTCTCAGCCTCCATATCAGTGAGTAAAACCCTAAGTGAGAGAGCCTTCCATCGTCCTTAGTGAGTGAGTGTGTTCTTGGAGCTAATAGTGCCTTGGTGTGTTAGTGAAGAAGGAAGAAAGGAGGTTGTGGAGACTAAAAGCTTGAAGTGCAAGTTTGGATCTGAGATCTACAGAGAAAGGAGCTGCATTTAGAGGTATAAAGTTCAAAACTTTCCTCTTATTTTTGGTTGTTGTTGCATGTGCCATTTTTAGGGTTAAAAACCCCAAAGGTGGAGACTTTATGAGTGTAAGGTGCTCCATGGTCCGAGATCTATCCCTTTTCAGTAGTAATTGTGGTCTAGATCCATAAAGTTCCCATCTTGGTCGTTAATAGGAGGTCATGCTTAAGTATTATGCTCTCTAGGGTTAGAGAACGGAATGTTTTGGGTGCTAGTGACTTTTTCAGCCATGCAAAAGCTTAAAGTCATCGACTTTATGATTTAAGAGGCTTAGAAATGGTCGGATCTAAAAGTTGGACGTGGGTATTAACTGTTTAAGACCTCAAGAGCCGAAGGACTGAAACTGGGTATTACATTGGGCGTAATTCCAGTAAGTGCAGTGTAGGGGGTGGTGCACCCCGATTCTCTGAAGGTATTGGGTATGCCTAACGTACATGTTTGGTACGCGCAGGGTAACCCGAAGGGTTGACTTTTGTTGACTTTTAGGGTTTGGTCAACTTTAGGGTATTTGAGCCATGTGAGGGGTAAAATGGTCTTTTAACCTCATGAGAATATTAAGAGAAGGGATGGTCTATCCTTAGGAAATGTGTTGATGCCGAGTGTTTATTTCATATGATTAGGCGGAGGATAGATCTTATCCCACAGAGTCCGAGATTTCCAAGATTTACAGGTCACCGAGCTATGCGAGGTGAGTCTTCTCACTATACGTTACCTAGAGTGGTATTTATGTGGACTGGAGGGTCTTATGTGCTATTTATGAGATTACGTGAATATATGTGCTATGTAATATTTGTATATTATATGATTGTATAGACCGAACCGGAAGGTCCAACGATACAGACCGGACTAGAGGGTCCAACGATTCAGACCGGGCCGGAGGGCCCAACGAGCTACGGGACTGGAAGGTCCCACTGAGACACATCGACCGGAGGTTCATACAGTAGGCTCGAGTGGCATATATGTTGTATGTGGTATTTTGGGGAACTCACTAAGCTTTATGATTACAGTTTTTGTGTTTTGTGTCTCAGGTACTAGAAAGGATCGTGGAAAGGCGCCGTCGTGACCCGTACACATTAGAGAAAGGATTTGATTTTTGAGATCTTGGGATATGTTATGTTTTGATAACTATTGTTGAATACCTTTGAGAATATTTTTACTTAAACTTGGTTGTTGAAAAATGAAAATTTGTTTTGAAAATCTCATTGTTACAATTTAGTATCAGAGCATTGGTTTGAGGGATTCAGAAGTACCTTCGGGCGTATTTGAACTCAAAGTGTGGATTTGAGAGATTTTTTTTTAAAATAAAACAAGTTTTTAAAAGAGTAAAAGGTTTAGTAAGAGAAGAGTAGAGCAGTGTGTACGGTCAGCAGTGCCCGAACGGTGAATCCCCAAAATACCCTTACCTTTTGTGTTACATGATATATTATGTTATGCATGCTAGAGTGGGCTAGGTATTCATATTAGGACTAGAGTGGCCTGATCTGTGATGCCTTAACCTACGAGATTACTGCTGCTATGATTTGCCTTGAGAGTGAGAAGGTAGCAGTTAGGAGCTCATGAGAGGTCTATCGGAGTGTAGCCAATGCATAGCGAGAATAGAGTACTTGCAATTCGGGATCCATGGAGCTCATGAGAGGACACGACACACACCTGGGGTTAGTGGTGTCAGCAATGAGGAGATCCGTCGATTGATTCATGAGGAGGTGGCTGCTGCCATCCAGGCTGAGATTCCAGAGATGTTCGGGGACATCAAGACGACATTGATTGAGACCTTTGACGAGAGGTATGCAGCGGTAACTGAGGCTGCAGCTGCTGCAACTACTGCTGCTGTTGCTGTTGCCAGACCTCAGGGAGGTGACTCGTTGTTGTTTTGGGAGTTCAGCAACACGAAGCCACCATATTTCGATGGGACGCAGGACTCGATTGCTGCAATGTGATGGATCTCTAACATCGACGAATGTTTCTATACATGTTCTTGTCCAGAACACTTGAGGGTACAGTTCATTCTGAACCAGCTCTGCTTGGGAGCAAAGGATTGGTGGAAGTTCGTGACGACAAGCTTCACTCTGGAAGAGATTTCTAACGTGACCTGGGAGTGGTTCACCACCATTTTTAGAGACGAGTATGTTCCCCAGGTGGAGAGGGAATAGTTGATTCTGGAGTTCTTGACCCTCAAGCAGGGTACTGATTCCGTTACAGTTGTTACCAGGAAGTTTCATGAGACGATGATGTTTTGCCATGAGCAGGTGTCTACTGAGTAGGATGGCATGAGCCGGTATCTGAGTCTGGGATATTATGTTTATATTATGTTATGCCTAGGTACCTTTTTTGTGGATTATGTGCCTGCCTTTGTGCTATTTGACTCAGGAGCGAGTCGATCTTTTGTGTCGTTAGCTTTTAGTCGTCATATCAGTATTTGTCGAGAGGCCTTGAGTCGACCTCTGCGAGTTTCTCTAGCTAACGAGCAAGCAGTGTATGCCACGTAGGTGATTCGAGGATGTAGACTTGAGATCTTTGGTGTGAGGTTCCCGATCGATCTAGTCTCGATTGCGATAGGGGATGTATGTGTCATAGTGGGCATGAATTGGTTGAGCCAATTTGGAGCTATTATAGACTTCGAGCGTCAGTTTGTGACAATTCGAGACCCTAGTGGGGGATTACTTACAGTGTACGGTGAGGGTACCCATCCTGAGTTAGCATTTTGTTCGGCTACTAGGGCAAAGCAGAGTTTACAACAGGGCTGCAGGGGATTTGTGGCCTATGTGATGGACACGCGAGTGGCCACTGGGAGGCCATGTTCGATTGACAAGGTCCCGATTGTACGGGAGTTCCTTGATGTTTTCCCTGAGGAGTTTCTGGGTGTGCCTCCCGAGTGGCAAGTGGAGTTTTGTATCAACTTGGTACCGGAGATGGTACCTATTGCAAAGGCACCCTATCGCCTTGCGTCGCCTGAGATGCAGGAGTTATGCTCGCAGCTTCAGGAGCTGATGGGAAAGGGGTTTATTAGACCGAGTAGCTCATCTTTGGGAGCGCCAATTCTTTTTGTCAAGAAAAAGGATGGTTCACACCGAATGTGCATCGATTACCGGGAGTTGAACATGTTGACAGTCAAGAACCATTATCCGTTACCGAGGATCGATGATATGTTCGATCAGTTGCAGGGGGCATCTTGGTTCTCCAAGGTAGACTTGAGGTAGGGATATCACCAGACGAGGGTTCGGGATGAGGACATCCAGAAGACAGCGTTCAGAACTCGTTACGAGCATTAAGAATTCGTGGTGATGCCATTCAGGCTCACCAATGCACCAGCAGCGTTCATGGATCTAATGAACCTGGTGTGCAGGCCGATGTTGGATCGTTCGGTGATTGTTTTCATCAATGATATCTTGGTATATTCGAAATCCAGATAGTAGCATGAGGAGCATTTGAGTAAATTCTCCAAGTGTGATTTTTGAGATCGGAGATGCTATACGCCAAATTCTCCAAGTGTGATTTTTGGTTACGGGAGGTCCAGTTCCTTGGGCATCTCGTTAACCAGCAGGGGATATTGGTCGATCCAGCCACGATCGAGGCTGTGATGAGTTGGGAGGTGCCGAGGTCACCTATTGAGATCAGGAGTTTCTTAGGGTTGGCAGGCAATTATCGGAGATTTATCAGTGATTTCTCCAAGATTGTCGTGCTACTCACCAATTTGACCCGGAAGGGTGTTTCTTTTTCTTGGGGTCCGGAGCAGCAGACCTTGTTCGCGACACTTCGTTAGAAATTATGCGAAGCCCCGGTGTTGGCCCTTCCAGAAGGGATGGAGGATTTCGTGGTATATTGTGATGCATCGATATTGGGGTTCGGAGCGAAGCTTATGCAGAGGGGGCATGTGATAGCATATGCATCAAGATAGCTAAAGCCTCATGAGTCTAGGTATCCCACTCACAATCTAGAATTGGGGGTAGTAGTGTTCACCCTCAAGATCTGGCGTTACTATTTGTATGGGCTTCGGTGTACGATATACACGGACCACAAGAGCTTGAAGTATTTGATGGATCATCCCAATCTGAATATGCTTCAGAGGAGATGCTTGGATGTGGTAAAGGATTACGATTGTGAGATCCTGTACCACTCGGGCAAGGCTAATCTTGTAGCCGATGCCTTGAGCCATAGGGCGGAGGGAGCCCCGATATGAGATGTTTGCATGAGATTGACAGTGATGACTCCGGTGTTCGACACCATTCGTGGGGCCCAGGCGGAGGCTGTAAGACCGGAGAACCGAAAAAGGGAGCGAGTGATCGGACAAGTATCGAAGTTCGTTACCAATAGTCAAGGACTTATGACCTTCCAGGGTCGGGTTTGGGTACCATTTGTAGGCGGAATGCATACCATCTTGATGGAGGAGGCGCACAGATCGAATTTCTCGATCAATCCCGGGGCCACTATGATGTATTTGGACCTGAAGAGGGAGTGTTGGTGGTCCTGTATGAAGAGAGATGTTGCAGG